CGCGAGGGCAGCGAACGTGTGAAACATTGTGCCCGCAGCACTCTCGGTCAGACGTTTTCATGTGAGCCAGGCTGAGATGGATCGTGGGCAGCAGGAAATGCTCCTCTTGCTTTAGGCCAGCATAAATCGGCTGTACAAATGACCTAAAATCTGTATAAAACTCAGCTAAAGATAGTGGCAGGGCTTTTGCAAATGATTTCTGCAAATGATTTCAGTGCAGCCTTGTTAGGATTCTAAAGAGAACTGCTTAGTGCTCATTACCTGTTCTGGTCTCCGTGTTAATCATGTTAAATTAGAGACTGCAGCCATGGGCGCTGCCAGTGGTGATGGAGACGGAGCATTGCCCTCCCCGAACGAGCCTGTGGGATGTCCCCTGAGTGCAAGACGGCGTGGGACACCCGTGTCTGGTCTGAGCGGGTGGGAGAAACCTCGCTGGGAGGAGCCTGCCCCATGCCCAGGGTGGGTGCTGGCACCGAGGCACGGGGAAGGGGAGGTGGCATCCCGGGGAAAGGCTACGCTGGGCAGAGGTCCTGTGCCAGGCTGACTCAAATGGGCTTAACGCGCTTCCCAGCTTCAAGGGAAGGCAATAATCCCAGAGGAAAGGAGGTTTACCTCTGATCAGTGCTGGTTTGCCTCACAGCTTCTCCCATGGAAAACTCCAGGGGTGCACGGGGAAACAGCGTGGCCTTTGGGAACTGCACCCTGCGATGCCTGGCGCGGGCAGCTCATGCGCGGGCTTTGCCCCGCTGCAGGCAGCGCACAGGACCACGGCACGTCCCCAGCGGCAGAACCCCAGTGATGAGGGTCTCCTCCCTCCCGCCTGGTGAGACGTGCCCCCAAGACCACCTCTCCCCCCACACCGCCTGCAAAGGGGCTGTTGATGGCTGCACGGTCCCCGTGCGCCCACCCGCAAACACGGCCCCCGGCCTGGGGACCCCTCCTGGCAGCGCTGCCCGGTGCTGGGATGCAGGGGAGAGTGGTGATGGAGACGCCCTGAGCCAGGGCAGGATTTCAAGAGCTGCTATTTCAGACATCAGTACGAGTGCTAAGGTGCCTCTCCCAGTTTCATTGCCACTACCTCCAGCAAGAAGCTAATCGGATCATCTGCCACTGCTTATTTTAAAATCAAAATGCATGTAAGAAGGTTGTATTTGCTCCAAAGAAATTCAATAAAACCAATGCTGTGAGAATTTTTTTTTTCCCCTCTAGAATTATACCAGACGTGTCTTTGGACAGAATTACATACTCTCGTATGAATTTATTTAACAAGTTTTTAATCTTTAAATATAGATTTAACACATTTTTTTACAGGTACATATACAATATAGTTCATTTAAACTTGCAGTCAGAGAAAATTCTCTACTGTAATTTATAATAACATATACATGAAGAGCCTAGTTCAACAGCATACTTAAGGTAACATACCATGTCGTGTGCAAAGTTTCAAATGTTAAAAATCTCAGACTGTACATTCAGATTTGCAGAACTTATCAACCTCATAAATTAATAAAAGCTTAGATTTAAAACTATGGAAGACAAAAAAGATTAAAACCATTTAATATGCAATGTGTGCTATGTTTGAGACAAATATTTACAGTTGTACCTCAAAATGTGTACTGTTACCACAAGAATTGTTACCACTATAAACAGCCCCGACAGTAACTTAAGAGACTCCTACTTTTCCACCTACCAAGTGCATTGTGACCAATTTTTAAGTAGATGGAAATAACCTTCAGTGACTTAAAAACTCCCTGCTCTGATTCCAGTGGCTGAAGAATACTGGGATCTTTCTAGGTCTTGCAAAGTTGCTCAGTTCAAACTCAGCTGGTCACGTTTTTGGGGGTGTACGGGGTTTACCTGCAATACTGGCCACCCGAACTGGAGAAATGCCCACCACTGCGTGCCAGCGCGGCGGGGAACCCCCCAGGCCACCACAGCCATCAAGTGGTTCAACAATTCCTCCGTACAAAAATGGTCACCAAAAAAACCCCCACCCCGGTATGTTTTAACTTAACAACTTGGGACTGTGTCTATGAATCCATGGTTCACAAATCAAAGTCAGATCATAAAGGTCCCTCTTTAGTCCACAGTATAAAACGTTTCATTTTGACGGGACAGTAAATTCACTACCGCATGCATACTATCAACCCTGTTCTCAGCACAGCCAGATGCTCTTTGCACACATCTGCTTAGAAGTCAAACCACCTGTACCTATGTTCTACAAAAGCAAAACTAGACAGAGAAACACAAAAGTAAATTATGAGTGTTCAATATTCTTTCTCAAAAATTCAATAGATACATTATTGTTAAAGATGCTGAAAAGTACAGTCTTATCACAAGAACATCCTTAGTGCAAACATGGACATTAAACTTTGATTTATGGCACATGTTCCAAAAAGTACATACATTTCATGTAAACTTCAACACTTGCTAGATACAGGTTTCAGCCTTGGGACACTTTGGGACCCTAAGTGATTGGTGACAACCCTGAGTTGTCAGTTTGACCTGATCCAAACCTCACTGAAATCAATGGGACTGACTGCAATGGGCTGGAGTCAGACCCTAAGTGCAAAAAGAGGATCTTTAGCGTTATTGCATCTTTGCATGTGAGTCAGGCAGATGATGCTCTTACAGAACATTACATTCACATAGCTGAAGTAGATATTTAAGAAAAATCCATTCATAAAATCAATTAAGCAGGACATACAGCTTCTTTGTTTGGTTTTGGGGGTTTTTTTTTTTGGTTTACCAAAACTCAACTCTTTTATTTGCAACTTCAACAGTTGTCAGCTAATAAGTAGGTAAAGCCTTCAACCTGTAGAGGAAATTTCAAGCATCTAAACAAAGTATCAGGAAACTGTAGTGTACTTCTTTGATGAAACGTGATGGATGTCATGGAAAAACAGCAGGTAAAATTAATAAAATACTGTACTTTCCACAGGAGAAAAAAAAGAAAGAGCAGAGAATGGCTTCCTTTATGACTATGAGAAGCTGCTTAGGACCCCAGTCCCGTTCAGTGCAGATGAAGCTGTGGAGGTCTGTGAATGTGATGAATAGTACAGGACAACTCCAACTATTGTGCTATTTCTCTGTAACACTTAGTTGAAAGCTTCCAAAGAGCATCGAAAATAGGATGCTACTAGTTCACCCTCAATTCAAGGGGAACTAAACTTTCTCGTGTTACACAGGGCAGCATCTATAAAGTAATGAAGATTGATGTTAATATTAAAGCATCTTATTCCAAGAAATACATTGTTCCCTGTAATCATGTAACATTTGTATAACATAAAAAAAATAAGCGCACTCCTGCAGTTCTCCCTAAAAGCTGAACTCCCACTAGCTTCTGTGAGAGCCTTGTCTAAGGCAGGACCGCAGGGTTTGACTCATTTCCATCATCTATCACTTGATTATCGCAGCGCAGCCAGCTGATATCTTCTCTAGACGCCTCATTTTGTCAGGCTCAAAATGATTTTCTACAGCATTACAAAATAGCAGTTCTGTGAAGCTGGCTGGCATACAAGGAGACCCTGCTTTACGTTTCAAAGGCCAAAAAGAAATCAACATTACCTTTAATGGACCCTGCATAAATACAAAAGCCTGTGGCTGCAATCGTTAAAGTGCATGAGCAATAGTGCAGACAGCTGCGCTGCATCTTCAAAACTACAAGCGGCATTTGGAACAGAACTTAGACAAAACTCGCGCATTTCGGCTAACATGCTTACGCCAGCCTGCAAGAGCTCCAGTTCAGCCACGTACGATACTCTTATCGGGCAGATTGAAACCACGTGGCCTAGGGAGCCATGTAAAGGGTTGCCTCAAGCTCCCCACAGTCGAGAGGACGATCCCCACCGCCCTGGGCAGCAGGAGCAGAGGACGTGCAAGCTCGGTCCTTCGGGCACTACCAGCGGGCGAAACCTTTACTCAGCTTTATTGCATGAAGAGCACACACAGGGGATCCCCGTAAGGAAGAGATAATTTGGCAAGTGGGGTGTTAAAACAAACTAGGGGAGGGTCTGGCGTGTAGAACAGGAGCCTGCGTCCTCCTTAAACCAAGCGGGTGTGTGCGCCTGCCCTGGCACAGAGCATCCTTCCACGCCTGCCCCGAATGCTCCTTGCCTTTGGGCTCAAGTCAAATTCTGCCGTAAAACTTTTTTGCTCTTTAAAAGAACTTGAAAGTTGTAGCAATATTCCTTTTAACTATATAATCTAGTAAGTAAAGGCATTTATCACTGCTTCCATTTTTCATTTGAATCCCTTTTTTATTCAGGCTACTCTATTTCATGCTCCCTCTAACAGAAATCAGTCTCACGCAACCTCCACGCAGCGAGTGGAAATCGGAAACTTGCCCTTCTCTCTGCCCAGCTTTTAAAGGTCAGGTGAAAAAAGCTGAAAATGCTTTGGCCCCATTTTGCTCTGACGTGAAAATTCGGGAGCAAGCAACAGGTTTACTTTTGCTTGCATCCGTTTATCACTGCTGAGAGAAAAGAAGAGCAGGGACAGAGCTTCCCCCTCAATGAGAGGGGAGGCTGCGGTGCTGCTGGACACGAGCACTGGGTCGCTGAAGTGAAACCGAGTCACACATCTGCTCTGGGTGACAGCAAGGACCTCATCTCTGCCGTCCCCCCTCTCCGTCTGCCATGAAGTGGGTGCTGCAGCACAGCTGAGAGGCGAGATGCCTTCTCCTTCACTGACACAGACACTGCCAGGGCTGTAAATCACGATCTCTGGCACGTTAGCAACCAGGGGACTTGCAGAAATATTTTGTCTCCTGCTCCGCTGTGGAAGAGGAGTTGGGATCATAATGCCGCAGGCCTCACCGCCCCCGAGATGTGCGTCTTGCACAAGGGCAATGAAGAGATAATCTTATATGAATTAACAAGGAGGTGCAAAAGTCAAGTCAGTTGACGAGGCAATGTCTGACCACTTTAGCAAGGCAGCTTAAACTAGCAACACACGGCTAAATCTCAGCAGTAGCTATTTTCTGAATATTGCTTTTTCTGAGCAGAGTTCTCTCCAAACCTTTTCCATTTTGAGATGTGTGTTATCACCTGCAATACAAAACTATTCCTATGGCACACACATAAAAAAATCCACCGTGGATTTGCACAGGAGGCAGAATAAATCTATTCAGAAGAAAGCAACAAGGACTAATCTCAGAAATTAAAGCTAGAGGCACACCAGAAGGAAAACTGGTTTTCAAACTGACCTCCAAGCCAGCCATCTTCCTCCCAAAAAGCCTCCTGGCTTATATCCAGGACAAGATTTACCAAAAGTTTAATAAGGTTTCCCCCACACACCCCTCTGCAAAACAAGATTTGGACCAAAATACTTGCTTTATCAACAGTTACATGGCATTGCCAATAGTAACCTCTCATCTATAAGGAAAACTACCTATGCATCCGTGTGAGGAAAGGAAGCAAAATCATCTGTGGATTCATTTGGATGTTGCAAGTTCAGCTTTGCACATAGGCTGTCCCTTGGCAAGCCAGGTGCAGGAGCATGGTGGATTTGCAAAGCTGGCAATGGTGAGGGAGTGGGGCATTGATCAAATACTCATCTGATAACTTAAAATGGGCAGCAAAAAGTTCCCTGTAACTTCATTATGATTTGTACTGGCCCAACACTGGAATAATTAGCAGGAGGGGAGAGGAATGGCTCGTAAGCATGCAGGTACCAGCCATCCTGTGGTGGGAGATTTTTGTCAGGGCCACAGTATAAATCTAAGAAAAAATGTTAAGGTAAGGGAACCATTTCATCTATTCAGCTAAAGACTTTGCACTGAAAAAAAAACAAATCCCAGATTTGTATGAATTCTGGTTATGAAATTCTGTGATTGGAGCTAGATTTTTATTTATTGTGGGGACTTGGAGTGAGCAATAACAGAGGCACTACCTGCCGCGAAGGGCCAGGACTGCCCTCCCCCAGCTCTGAAGCGACTCCGGCACACTCTAAGCTCTGGGGGACCCCACAAAATGTTAATCAATCAAGTTTACCCTGCTTACGTGCAAAACAGCATTTCGGCACAAGCAGCTAATGATATGTGAGGGTTATGGTGCTCCCTCCTGCCCCTACTTTGCTCTACAAGCTTGGCTGCCTAAGTCTCCCTCTGCTATATTGGAGCAAGAGCTCCATCTTCTGAAGAAGCAGAAAAGAGCCCAATCCAGACTGCAATCCTGAGCAGTCAGTGGTACAAAGTCACCTGCAGCATAAAATGACCAGTCCGCAGTGGAAAGGGAATTGCTAAATGCAAGGTACTGTTTGAAAATCAGTTTTCAGAGTGCAAGTACATTATGGCTATAAGGAGTTGTCACTAAAAAGCTCTAGGAATAGCTCTAGGAAATAGCAAGAAAACATCCTACCTCATCCTACAACACTGCCTGGAGCGCATGTAAAATTAGAATCACGCCTAGAGACTGCATACACGATCAGCAATTGCGAGAGAGAACAGAGTTAATCTTAACAGGGGAAACAGAGCCTCAGTGCTGCGACTAGACCCTGACAACATGACTGCAAAGCATCTGGGCAGTGGCATGAGCTTACAAGAGGTTTCTGTGGTTTTGCCTTGTGAAATTCTCCTTAGTTTGTACTCAGAAACTTTGTAAACCAGCCTGGAGCTGCGAGTCTCTAGGCTTTGGAGGATATGAGTACTGGCAAAGCAAACCAGTGTTCAAAGTTTGCTGGCACCCTGTTTTCAAGATGCATTTATGGCTGGAGAAACCTCCTGCACAGGCTGCGGTCCAGGACCCGGCGAGATGCGATATCCAGACTTGCTGAGAAGACAACACGTGGTGCTCCAGGGTGGGAGCACACCAAGGGGAACCCTCTCAGCTGTGCTGCTAGCCCGCTACGAGCTACCCCTTACGTAAAGTCAGAAAACCTCCAACCTGTGAAATTTGACTGCTCTGCAACAAAGGGGATAAAAAAACACCAACCTGTATAGGAAAGATTTCATTGAAATATACTGGAAAACCATCAAGAGCTGACTGGAATTTTAAGCCTTTCAGAAGGCTTCCTTCATATTCATCAAAACAATAGATTTTGACAAGAAGGAAGTACTTAAAAAAGAAATCTACTTGCAAAATTTGTTTCATATGGCCATAACTGGTGGATTCTTCTTTTTTTTTAATGGACTAAATCTATGTGGGTTTCCTGAGCGGCTCCCATGGCAAACCCTGGTCTCCCGTTTCCAGTGGACAGCATGGTGATGAGGCAACATGTGGAGCGGTGATGCTGCATACATGGCAAAGGCGACAGGTTCCTCTTAAGGCATTTTCTTGTGTCATCTGTTATGCTTCCCTATCTATTTCTATGTATATTTACAGCGAGAAAATGAGAAATACGATTTTTCAGACTAGAAGCCTTCTGCTGAAACCTGCTAACCTGTTTATAAACTTTATTCTAACAATGAATTTACAAGCAGGCAGCAATGAGGGCAAGAGAGAGGCTGCAGAAATGAAGTATTGCCTTGAGAGTTGTGGGGGTCAGGCCACGACGTCTTTTGCAGCAGGAGGAGATTTTGCCTAGGGACCTCCTATTCACATGGGGTTTGAGCTACAGCAGCGAGTAGGCAAAACAGTCACGGGAATCCCTGATCAGACTCCGTCTCTTCTCCCCAATCTTCTACCCAGTGCTCTTGCAAAGAAATCTACATTTTTAAATGCTTGGTTTTAATTTACTAGTGCCTAAAGTCACAGAAATGTCTTAAGGTATTAACAAACAAAAAAAAGCTTAATTTACTACTTTTGCATGGTTTTTGGAGTAGCTGCTTTCTTGTTTTTCCTGCAGAGGCATATGCAGCCAGATTTAGTACATCAAGTGTAACGCAAATGGCTTAAAAGACCTGATTGGAGTTATGAAATATTTCTGCTAGGTGTGCTATATGATACCTGCGACTTTGGCATTCCGAAATCTGCAGTCACCGACTACTATCTGCAGACTGTGGACAGGAATCCAGCCTTCTTTTCTTCTGTTTAGGTTTTTCACCAACCTTTGAATGACAACGGTATTAGTAAAAGAAACAAACCAACTGAGGAGCAGTTTGGTATGGGCACACGCTACACAGCTGCTGGTGCAACCAACAATTTGTTCAAACCAGGGAATCATTTTAACAGGAGCTGGGCATGCATTTAAAGTATTCTTCCCACCTAAATTTAGGAACCTAATTAGAAAACCCAAATTGGGAGGACAGTTGCTTTGGGCCCCTCTCTAGTCAATGGAGAGGAACAGGACTCTCCAGAGCATTGAGTTATCCTGCCCAAGACCTGCATCGCTCTCCAGAGGTGCTGGTTTCCCTCCATTGACTACCAATAGAGCCAAGGGCAATTACTTTTCTCAATCCTCTGCTACTAAGCTAGACTGGTAGGATGAATTTAGTCAGGGTACTATAAGTAAATTCAAGCCAAGATGTAGGCAGCTGGAAATACTCATGCTCATAAATGACATTTCTCAGTCTCACTCATGCAGTGAAATCTGCTCTAACAAATAAATTTGGTGTGAGAAATCTTTGCCTGGCACTGGCCGAAACCACCGCAAGAGGTGCTGAGCATTCAGCAATACCAGGATGCTTTACACCTTGCTTTTGCTAACAACAAACTGAATTTCCCTTGAAGTGCAAGGGCTGTAGATGTCAACCAGGAATCCTCCACAGGGCATTTGTGTCTGTGCATTTACGGGCTAGCGCCTGCACACATCTGATTCAGGTTCCTGCTAATATCACCCTCTCCGCATCCCGAACAAGGTATTAGCGTGCTGCGCTCTCTCCTACTGAGACCCTGGGCTGGCTGATGAAAGCTAGTCAGAAATCAACCTGGAAAGGAAAGACAGCCAGAAATCTCAGCCAAATTGCTTCAAAAATCAGAGGGCACACTGCTCTCCAAGATGACGAGACGAATGGTTCAACAGGCAGGAGGCTGGGTATGGTGATTTCCCAGGCAATGCTCCCAGCCATAAGGAGAGAACCAGCTGTGAAGCGTTATGTTGCGAGCCACAGCTTTAAATACAACAGAAAGCTGGTCCACAGCCATTAACCGGTTAACACTCATACAGCTGTTCAAGGGAGGAAAACATCTCGCAATTACTCAATATTGCTATTAATAAGCCCAGAGGAACAAAACCAACAGCTGAGCTGGGGTGGGCAAAAAGCTCTCACTTGAAGCATCACCCAAAGCAGGGAGGGCGTGGCAGGAGGGGCTGTGAAGGTGCTGGTAAAACACAGCTCACCCGGACACCCATGGCAAGGGAGGTCCTCACATGTTTTCCCAGGCCAAGCCAGTGCGTTTGGCCTCTAGTCTTGGCAAGGCAATGAATTCTCCAGCTTTCTGGAATAGTCTAAAACTTAATCAGAAGCTGTAAGAAGCGTATCGCCAGGCAAGCAAGCTTGCACGGGGCTGTCCTGCAGGCTCTGAGAGAGAAGGCAAAGTAATCCTAAAATACCTACCACTGTCCCTCACCATCTTCATGCAAAAGCTGAATTTCATCCCCGTTTTTCACCAGCAGGTCCTCTGATCCCCTCCTCTTGCAGTCTGCAAGGGCTTTATATTTTCCTGGAGACTGTGGTAGTAAGAAAAATTATCTTATTTAGCTACATTTCATATCACGCAGCTGTTATTTCTGACTGCCCCAGGGAACATAACAGAGCCTTATCAGCTACCTTAATTAAAATAATTTCAAGAAACTGTGGCTGAGCCATCTCCTCATTCCCCAAAATTGAGATATGGAAAATCTGAGACACATGGACACGATACATCCATTATCCAGTCAAGCAAAACAAAGCAAGATGACCAAAACCGGCAGCACCCCGAGCTTTGGGACTACTGCGCCTCTGTACTAACCAGCTGGTTCCCGTCCTCCTCTTCGGTGTCCGAGCAGTTGGAGAGGTACTGGTTACCCGACCACTCCTCCAGCCCCTCGCAGATTTCCAGGGACTGTGACATTCCCGGCCAGCCTGCAAGACAGCATGCAGCTCAGGTTTGGGGGTACCCCAGCACCCGCAAAGCGCGCCCCGAAGGAAGGGGAAGGGTCCGTACTTCTGTGGGGCTTGTTCTGCGGGGACAGGAGCCCACTGTCCAGCATCACCGGGCTGGTGCGCTCCGAGTCGTTCTCTTCTGAGCTTATGGAGGCTCTCTGCTGCTTTCTGAATGATTAAAAAAACAGAAACCCATCTTAGTTTTACTTTATGAATGAACGTAAACTCCACAAGGTTTTGTAAAACAGGGTCAGAAATAACAATGGTACTTTTTAATTTATGTTTCTATAAAAGTAAAGGACTTTGTGACTGGTTTTAATTTTGGGGGGAGGGGAAATAAAATTGCTGCAGTATCTCTTTCTCTGAATCTGAGCACCATCTTTAATCTTCGTCTCCATTTGCAGAGGAGCTGCAGCTCGGGCTGTGCTGCCAGGTGAGCGCTCGAGCGTGGCCCTTGCAGACCCTGTCCCCAGACCACCGCCACCAAAGGACCAACTGCAGCACATCCCTCCTGCACCTACCCAGAGGTCTCGGACAGAAATGGGGTGAGGGGAATAGCACAGAGCCAGGATATGGCCAGAAGGCACTGGGTGCCCAGTGGCGGGAGGGTACCAGCAAGAGCCTCTGGTCCAGCTCCTGGGACTCACCCATCGCTCAGCTGGGAAGAGAGTGGGAGCTGGTCCGTGCATGAGCCAGGCTGCTGCTTCTCCACTGCGGGGAGGTCAAACACCAGCTTAAAATCCGTTTTTTTAATTAGTAACCATCACGCTTGAAGCATTATTTTAAAAGTTAGACCTTTTGTACAACCCTAATGATTTCTGTTTAGAGAAAAACAGACCTAGGGACTCTTGCAAAGCACAGACTTAGTTATGATTAAGATGGTATGTTAGCACAAATCCAATAGTGAGCATTCCACTGAAGACTCTAATATGCTTAAAACTAGGCATCTGCTATGTATCTTGTTGAATTAAGCCTATGATAACAAATGCGAAATAATCCCCAAGGTAATGACAAAAAAAATGTACTTCTGTAATTCATTTTCACATAAGCACCTGGCCTTTACTTCTCTAAGTTACGTTATTTCTCTGTAATGTAAGACGTCACTTCAGTATTTTGCTACTAGGCTTCTTCTGAAAATCAATTCTCTGGTGAGAATTAGTGGATATGAAGATCAGCAATGTAAAAATAGGAAAGGTTCTGCTGCAGAGTGAACGCCACAGAGAAATTGGTCAAATGTACCTTTTATAAGTTCCTGCTGCTTGAACAAAATTTTTCTTATTTCATTCAACCATGCCATCTTCAGATCTACTGTTTGGGCCTGGAAGAAGAGAAAATTGTCTGAATTTTGAATTAAGATTCATCCATTATAATGTATGAATAAAATCTTACTTTTCTATGCTGTAATTATCTGAAATCCCCTTTTATCCAAAGCCACCACTACGTTTTAAACATTCTTGATCTTTTAAAATTGATGATGCCCACTACATCCAGGCAAAACACAGTGGAAATTGTGGAACCATCACTACAACGCAAGGAGTGCAGGCAAAAGCACACGTGTGCATGCATCTTATCTCTTTTACAAAATACCTAAAGGGCCACATCTGCCTTTTGAATGTATGTATACTTGGCTACATACATCCGCTTTATGAATTTAAGTTGGCTACAGTGTTGTAACACGGAGAAAAAAAAGCTAGGCAGAAGACTAATTAAAAAAAACATCAGCCAACAATATTTTCACACTGGGTTTTCCTGTGAACACCCCGTTAGGCAAACATTTCACCATCATAAATTTCTATTCAAAATGCTACAAAAGGCAAAAAAAAATCAGGGAGAAATCAGGTCAATCGGGCTACTATTTTGTAGATGAGTCAAAAGACTACTGGAAATGGCACCACAGAGGCTCAACCTTTGCTCTGGGAGCAGTTCTGACATCTAACTGTAGAGGAGCACATGTGGCCCGTGTCTATTAAAGCATGAGGCCCATTTCCCAGCTCAATTCACACAAGCTATTAAGCACAGTAAAACTACTGGTCTGTTTGAGATTTCATCTGGAATACAAGGCTCTATTTCCAAGGAGCAGTTCTGTCTCCACTTTAAGATGACTTCTAGTCATCATCCAGTTCTGGACTGGACACCAAGGACCAGCCACTGGGACAGCTCCGTGAATGCTGACATGGGCAAAGAGGAAGAAGAAATGCAAGTTAAATGTCTGATAATCCCGTGAGGATGTACAAATATCCACATTTTTGAAGCTACAAACCTGCACAACGTAGACCTCTTCTCGCCCACTATACCAGATTTCAAATTTTCGATGATCTCCTTTCACATTCTCAGTTATTCCAACTGCATTCATCTGCAAAAGAACCAAAAAATTAAACATACTACAAATCTCTCCCTCTTCCCTATGTTTCCAGACATTTTGCAGCATGTTAAACAAGCCTGTTTTCACCCAATTTAACACATTTCTTCGACTTTAATTTCAGTAGCAACTGAAAGTCATTATCTAACTTATCCTCCCTGACTTTCCGCCAGCTTGCTGTATTTGCAAAAGCTTTCTGAAACCAATCAATGGACCTTAGGGGTCTTTTCATTTGGGAATCAGCAGGACTAACTGAAAAGTCATCTCGTACCTCTTTCAGCATGAAATTTCTCAGGTGAGGCACATGAAGCTTTATAAATACATGGCCCATTATTTTTCCACATTATTTCTGCCATATGATTCTTTATTTACTCACTGAATTCTGTGTTTCATTCTTTCAGCGATCTTTAAAACCCATTTGTGAAGCCCTCAGCTCCTTTAGGAATTTCAGTTCAATGTCCCTGACCATCCTTGTAGTTGAGACATTATCCCGAGGTCTCCAAAAGAAGGGTTCATTTTTGGATATACAGCCCGAGCTGCCATAAACCTGGCTTTCAGGAAACACACAGACTTCAAGCTAGACGTGGCTGAATGCTGCTGTACCTAGGTACCCGTTATCACAGACCACTTTTGAAAAGTTGGGTGGAAATGCCAAAGGCCCAAGTAATTCAGGATCTACACAACATGACCCAACTGAATCAATAGCTAAAACTATGATTAGAGACCAAGAAACTCTTCAGCAATGGGAGACCTCTGACCCACCTGCTGGAAATTCTTTAATACCTGATATCGTATAAACCATCTTCTCCCTTAAAGCACAGTTTGCTAGCAATTTATCACTGATTAACCGACAGTCAAAAATAGCTAAAGTACCCCACTTTCATGTTTTGAAACAGATCTAATAATAATGGTATCATCTATCATAAATTATTGACACAGACTGCATTAGATAAATCAGTATAGATACAAATAAGTCCCTAGAAGGAACATCTGTTTAACACAGAATCATAGAATCGTTTAGGTTGGAAAAGACCTTTAAGATCATCCAGTCCAACCATTAACCTACACTACCAAGTCTACTCTAAACCAGTCAAGGGTAGACTAGACTAAACCATGTCCCGAAGTGCCACATATACCCATTTTCTGAACACTTCCAGGGATGGTGACTCCACCACCTCTCTGGGCAGCCTGTTCCAATTCTTGACCACCCTTTCCGTAAAGAAATTTTTCCTTATTTCCAACCTAAACCTCCCCTGGCGCAGCTTAAGCCCATTGTTCTTTGTTAATATGTGCATCCTCAGAGCTTTTGGTCTGAATGACTATGAGGATTTACAGATTAGGTCACCTGGGCAAACTTTCTGTTCCTAGTTACTTTTTCAAATGTTGGCACCCATTTGCAATGGCTATGAACAGCCTCAGGAAATAGGAAGCAAGTTGCTAATTAGCTTTCCTCGTTTCTTCACTGGTATGAACAGCAGAGCTCTTATGAACTTCTGAGAAAGTGTTTGCCTCCAGAGGCAGAAAGGCCCATCACTGCACAGCAGTCAGTATTTCCTAGTTATATTTTATTTTTTAATTTTTAGATTTTTTTTTTTAAATTATTTTATCCTGTGCAGTATAGTGCCATAAAGCCTTAGAAAGGCAGATCAGGCTCCATTCTGATTTTATGAAAACCTAAAAAACTTGAAAAAAATGATTTATGAAAGATGCTGAAAGGGCAGCCTAGAGAGCGCCGTATCCATATTCCAGAATTTCCAGTTCTGTGTCTTCTGGCATGGCAATTTATAGAGAAGCTCCTACAAAACTGCCCAGACATCAAGATACTAGAAATTACAGGTGATCTACTATGAGGATGCGAAGGAAAGTGCCAGGAATAGACATATTTAAGGTCTGTTCATTCATGTTAGTGGATTTTGAAATTCTAGTTCCTCCCCCTGACCAGGATTTACTGTGCCCCAGCTGTTGGTTCACTGCAACGCAGACAGAGGTGGGTTAGTGTAAAGCTCTGGGCTGGAGTTCATCTGCATCACCTTCCACAGTGGTAAGAGGCAGACTGATTTACCTGGCGTTGCACTGAGTTATGAACCTGTATCCTCTAAGTTACTGAATCTCAGCTGAAGAGATATTTACCACTGGGTATTTTACATAGTATGTGGAATATTATCCTGAGGGGTTCTTTGTTTTACAGACGTCCAGTTACACAGCTTCAACCCAACAGCTTGCTTTAATTCTGAATCCCCAGAAAACATTCTTGCAAAGAAAAATAATTTCCTGATACTATCACGAATGAAACAAATGTCAAGCTCCAGAAACATGATTTCGCCCTCAGGACGGCAATTCTGAAGACGTGCGTGTACAGATGTAATCCTGCAGCATCTATGGATTCTATAACCCCAACCCCTCAGCGTGGCAACACAAACAACTGGAAAATGAGCCCTCTCGAGGCAAAGAAAAACCCCGGCCCCATTGCCTGGACTCCTGAATACGAGATTTTCTCTCTCCTCCGAGCAGGCTTTCCCCACACCACCTCTTCAGTTCTTTCAAAAGCATGTATGGTAAAACAAGTACTGCAGGGAAAACAAGCTCTCCAGAAAGAAAATGATGATGCTTGGGAAAAACATTTGAGTACCTAAACATATGGCCTGGGATTTGGTTTGAATACACAATTTGTAACATGCACTGGAGCTGAACAGACTTATCTACTTTTACATGGCTTTCTGAATACTCATGGCATCTCTCTCTCCAGACCCCGCTGAGATCAGGGACCTGCAGCACCCGGGCCTGAGGGCTCTGCCTCCAAGTGCCCAGTTTTTTCCATTCTAAGATATACCCATATTGGGGTTTTATTTACCAAGAAAAACAAGGCAGAGTACAGAGACAAAATGCTCATCACACGCAGCATGCCAGAAGGTCTCGTATAGAGGAGTATTTGGGGATTTTTATTGATAATAGTTGGCATTTATAGGCTTGGGACAGTTGTTTATGTCCCTCATACTTTGCCACAGGCTACTCTCTTCATCTGATAATTGTACTCTTAGCTGCAGTTAGAGCTGCCAAAGAAGAAAGGCAATGAGAGAGGAAGAAGAGTTATCTCCACATCCTCCTGGCTGGGAAACAGGGCTCAGGAGCAGCCAGGCTCCTCCAGGCTGTGCCCCAGACAGACCCCAGCCCAAGGGGAGGGGACCAGGGGTGTGAAGAGCTCCCTTGCTCTCCCAGGTGGGCTGGGCAAGATGCAAAGGGCCTCCCCAGTTTCATGCCCTCGCTCCTGCTCCTGGAAAGCGGACTAGGGGAGGGGGGAAGGCACGTTCTCATCCCCGGGACTTGTCCACAGCACCACTTCCCTGGCAGATGCCATCACATATGTGACTTTGAGTCCATGGGCTCTCCCAGCTGCTACTTCAGCTACGGGGGTCCTTACAGCTTATCACAATCAACAGCCTTTCATGGGCCTGGCACTCCATATGGGGCATTACAACCCTTAATAGCAGAAAACAAGCCACTGTGTTAGAGGAAAAATGGTCTCTGGGTCTGCAGAGTTATTGGTTTACAATATACATGGCAATGGCCCCAACTAAAAAGTCCTTACTTTCAAAAAATGCTTAAAACTGTAAGATGAGGTTTTGTCATATCCATCTCCATGCTCCTCTCGCTTCTTGCAGAAGACCAAGGCTTTCTCGTACAGGAACAGATGCCTCTGCATTGGCTTGAACCTGGCAAGATCCTTCATTTTTGTTGGACCTTTTCGGTGTCCTGTCCAAACACTGAAAGATCCTTGCATCAATACTTTCCCCAGTTCACTCAGGTCACCCTGTTGAGAGTACGACGTATAAAAAAAGAAAGAAAAAGACGTCAACTAAAATGTAAGAGGACTGTCCAAACAATGACAGGCGATGGGGCCAGCCATGTCCCAAGGCATGTCACTCTCAGAATAAGTCTTCCTGGAAGGATCAGATGATCTTTTGGGATTAACGGCATGGTGCCAGGAGGGGAGCAGAGGTCTTGGACGCAGGGCTGCAGCTAGTCTATGTGAAGGGATACAAGTCAGTAACTGGAAGAACTAGGAAAACTCTCCAGCTCCTACAGAAGTCCAGGTCAAGGGCTCTGGCTACTTCAGTGGGAGAGGGCAGATGAGATTTGAGCCTGAACTGAGGTCTCAGAGGATGGACTTCTCAAGCAGGCCAGGACTGGCACCAGTAGCTTTGGAAGCCAACCCCTCACCCTTCTCTGAAGCCCTAGGAAAAACAACCACTTCAATGGGCAAGGATCAAAACCAGCCTCAGAGAGTATTTAGTTAATTGTTGAATGAGAAACGCTATGAAGACACCCCAGGTGAATTGTAAGGTGAGCCATGAGAGAACTAAGTTGCATGCTGGAAAAATACTCTCGAAAACCACAAGGTGGCAAGTGTGGGCACCATGCAACTTGGCATGTCCTTTGGATGCGGATATTTTTTCCAAAATCCTGCAATCAGATGGAAGACTGTCACCTGTAAGAGCTTCCTGATCCCATTCACTTTGTAGCTGTTCTAGTATAGTTTTTAGCTCATACATTCTGGGACACTATCCATTCCCAATGCATCATCTGGCCTTGTGCAAGGTCTCTCATTACCCAAATCTACTCACATCATATCCTGTTATTGAAATCTGATGCATCGAGTCATTGACTGACTTTAGCAAATCCAACATTGCAACCAGAGCTTCTTGAAGTTCCTGAACTCCATCACAGCTCGTGCTGTACTTTAGCAACTCCTGAAAATAGAAATGGAAGAGCACGTGTTTGCACTTGAACAAAGCAGATTTTTCCATCTCACCCAAAGTTTCCTATGCCCAAGAGCAACCTGCACTGCCTGAATTCTTCATATGTCACCAGAAAAAACTTGCTCTAAACCACAGTCAGTATGAGGTGTGGAACAGATCACTGAAGCACGGCCCATTTTTTCTAGGTTTCCTTAGGGATGGTGTCAGCTTATAGAGCGGCATCACGCTCATCTGAGTTCTTTGTGTTGTGTTTTCCTGCTTGGTAAGAAATGGAAAATAAGGCTCAGGTTTTCCATCAGCTGCCAATATGTCATATATGCCTTTAAATGAGGTTGCAGCAGATGATTGTCTTCTGACTGGCAGACACAAGGAACAGATTTTATAAAATCCAGAGCCTTCAAGTCAATAAGCAGAAGACAGAGTTGGGAATTACACCACTGATACAAAATTAGTTTCACTTCAGACCTCCTCTGCCCACTTACAGCTTCTTGTGTAACTCATCCCTCATGCAAGAAGCTGGAAGGTGGAGCTCAGAAGCCACCACCCCACTGTCGTTCACACTCTGGAAAGTGGGAATAACAGCACTGCCCTGCCTCAGACGGGGGACACAAGAATAAATGCATTAAAGATTACAGGCACTATAACAACCTGAGGAGAAGAAGAGATGTATCAATATAATATATTTCATTCATCATACTCTTATGATCATCTCTGGTTCAGTTTTCTTAGAAGTGCTTCTGTCATTTTGCATCCCTGAACAGATTCAGTCTTTCTCCCCATAAAAACAGCTTGTTAAAAGCACTTGTTCCTTTTTCAGGTATGCAGATTTTCATCCTCACTGAAAGTCACAACAGAGGGCCAAGATAAGCAATATGTAATCTAAGGCTTGGTGCTGATTTACAGGTAACCTTTTAGTGAAAAATAAAACAAACCGGAAAACAAAGGTATCTCCTGATGTCCTTTCAAAGCCAAATATGAAATACCTTCAGAAGTAACTGGTATTTTGTCAGGCGCTGCACTGGTTTGAGCAAATAGGAATCCAGCCCAAGTTTGTGCTCTAATTTTCTTTGGCATTCC